CCTCCAAACTGAACATATATTTGAACACAAGATAAGTCTCAACAAGTAGAAGGAATTTGAAACAACACCCTGATTCTTACCAGACCACTATGGGTTAAAGCAGAATATCAACAACAGAAACAGAAATATTCAAGCTCAAAGAAGCTAAACAGCTCATTGCTGAATGGAAATTGGGACAAGACAGAAATCAAATGGTAAATTAAAAGCTTTTTAGGATTGAATGATAAATAAAAACACAGCATATCAAAATTTATGAAAGACAATGAAGGCAGCTCTTCAAGAAAAGCTCCTATCAGTAAGTGCCTACCTAAAAAACTTGAGAAATCTCATATTAATCACTTAGTATCTATTAGCCATATATCTTAAATTGTATTGTGGTTTCTAACTAGTTCCAAGAGGTTATTTCAGTTGCTTCTTTCTAATTTTCTGAATAAACTATTGTTTCATTGTCTTTGTTTTTCTTTTTGTTCAACACAGGGTTTCTCTGTCACTTTGGACCCTATCCTGGAACTAGTTTTTGTAGACCAGGCCTTGAACTTACAGAGATCCACCTTCCTCTACCTCCTGGGTGCTTGTAGGAAGAGGCCACTAGTTAGTTCCCAGCTGCTTAGCCCTGAAATAATCACACAGAAACGATATTATTTAAAACACTGCTTGGCCAATTACTTAAGCGAATTGCTAGCTAGCTCTTACATCTAGAATTAACCCGTCTCCGTTATGAGTAGGCTTGTGGCCTACTCATAAGGTTCCAACATCTGTCTCCAACAGGGCTACATATCTTTTCTCTGACTCTGCCTTCTCTCTCCCAGTATCAGCTTAGTTTCCCCCGCCTAGCTCTGTTCCCCTATAGCTATAGGCCCAAAGCAGTTCCTTTATTAACCAATGATATTCACAGTATACAGAGGGGAATCCCACATCAAGTGCTGAGATTTAAACGTATGCGACACTACTGCCTGGCTCAATGTCAATTGTCTTATAAAATGCTTACTGCTTTCCTGCCCTATAATTGGAGAAATATGACCAATGATCTTTAGGAGAACATTTCGAGATTAATGTTAAAGCATGAAACCACGAGGTTTCCTAAGTTTTACAATAAAGTCAGCAGGCTGGCAGGCTTGCCTAGTTCAAGCGCATTCTATATGGGCCCCTGTAGCCCTATTATCCATCAAATATTCTACTACTTTTTTTTTCTTTTTTTGGATTTTCGAGACAGGGTTTTTCCATAGCTTTTGGTTCCTATCCTGGAACTAGCTCTTGTAGACCAGGCTGGCTTCGAACTCACAGAGATCCACCTGCCTCTGCCTCCCGAGTGCTGGGATTAAAGGCGTGCGCCACCACCGCCCGGCCAAATATTTTACTCCTTAATTGTACTCATTTTCAATCCTTAGATTATTCAGTCGAGTTGTTATTTCTCTTCCTAAGAGAACATTTTGTCATTTATGTGGGGAATCAAATTTTTCTATGACCCTCTATCTAAAACACCCATTTACCCTCAGTGATTTAGAATAATCGAACCATCATAAGGATGTTAAAAACTGGGCCCACGTGCCACGTGTCTATGGTCCCAGACCTTGGAACCTGAGGCAGGAGCTTCACAAGTTCAGGACCAGTTTGGGATACGTAGTGGGATTCCATGGGGAAAAGCAAAGAGATGACCTGCACGACCACAGCTGACAGAAGGAACGCGGTCATAGATGCTCTGTCTTCCCAGTTTTACAAACCTTTAACGAAACACTTGAGAACAAATTGAAGAGAGTCTGCTTTCCTACATCAGCACATAGCAACTGCACAAAATATTTGCTTCCTTGCTTATTTCCTGCCTTTAAACATTATTTTAAGGAACACCCCCGAATATTGGTGTGCTTAATCCTCAAGATTAGATTCAGATGCTTTATTTCTGATGGGCACACAGCAGAAATGGCCCAGTGCATCATCTCAGCAGCGCACGGAGTCAGTCTGTCCTGATGTCTGTGATGTTATGATGATTCTTCCAGGACTCTTCATTGTAAAGTTATCATTTTATCACTTGTTAAGTAGCTTATTGTGAGATATTTTGACACGGTGTAACTATCCTGTAGGTTTTGTTTTTGTGATATGTGTTTACTAAAATAAACTTCAATTAGGATTGTTCTAACTGACATTATTCTTCTGTATTTACTGTTTTGGGCATCCTATGACAGGGAAGAGATTTTCATCCCTATTTATAGCATAATGAGCTGATACATTTTAAGTTTATTGTGTGAATTATGTCCATTAATTTTTACGTTTTTTAAAAACTTTAAAAAATAACTGTTCCTGGATTTGACAGGGAGGATTCATGAAATGAAGGCCTGTGCAATGGTCCTGTCATTCTCTGCATATTCTTGCATTCTAGCATGAGAAGATACTGAGTTAACCATTTCTCTGTTAGTTTTTATGTTAGCTAATTTTCCAAAAAGTTATGTTTACTTTTGGGTCACCATTCTGTTCAGAAGCCAATCTAGATCTTGGCTCTCCTATTGCTGCAATAAGGTCCTATGAACAGGGTGTACTGAGTGCAATTTCTGATCACTGGGGAAGACATTCAGTGAGTTTATGCTCTAAAAGAACAAATACCCCCAGTTCTTCAAACTAGGAAGTAACTTCAGAAACAGAAAAATCATATGCCTTAGAACTCTTAGAACATATTTTCTGCTCAATATTCTATATGACAGCCATTTAAAAAAAAATCCTGACACACAAGGGAATGATGGAGAACGAGGAATAAAGCACTTCTTTTTTGAGATCTTTGCACGTATTTTGTAGGACCTGTCATTTGTGTTTGAAGTCTTTAAAAGTTTGATATAATTGCATCTTTGGGACATTATCCCTGAAGGATGAGAAGTTTCAAACTTCTGTATATTATTGTTGCTGAACTTTAAATTGTTCGGGGACAAGTATTCCCCCAAAACAGCAAGTGATTTAAACTTGCATAGTATTGCAGTTGTTATCCTGTGGGTAGTTTTGGCTATGTTGGTAACAGCTGGTCATTTTGAAAGAAAAAAAAATTGCATAATTGATTTTTTCTGTAACACTTCACATTTTAAATATGGATATATTCATTCTTCTTTGTACATAATTAACCATAACTAACTTAAGGGATATATCGTAAAACATTTTTTTGTTTGGAGTTTGTAGCACAGAATTCAGGTGGGAGCACCATTTTTCATTGGCTACTATTTTTATACAATATAAAACATCCAATTCTGAGCACCCAAGTTAATGTTGTTCTTAACAGCAGTATACAATTTTTTTATTTAAAATAACTTTTTATAATAATTTACTTGACAGGGATTTTACTAAATATTAAATTTTGCAGGAATATTCACAAGAAATTATTTGTTAACTAATGTAAGAATCAACTATTATTGATGGAAGAAAATATTAAGAAGAGAAGCAAAAACTATATGTTTGGTTACCATAGAATGGAGGAATTCTGACTTTTTTTCTGAGATAGTAAAGATACATTCAGTTTTGGACTTGCAGGGTAAGCTGCTTAGGAATTAATTAGTCAAACGGGAAAAATCATTGACAGAACTTGTTAACTGAGTAGAAATGAGCAGCGGTAGAGGGAGAAGGGGAGGATGACGTAATGCAATGGAAGCAGTTTGGTAAAACTGGACGTCTCTGTCATCAGTGCAGTAAGACATTGCCCTGTCACTGTGTTCACCATCTCTGTTGATGCCCAACTTTCTAAAGGTGGGGAGCAAGGAGAAGGTTGCCGTGACCGAAACCCTGAAACAAGGAAAGGAAGCGACACTAACCATCTGATGAGTGGATGTTTTCATGAAAGCAAGCGGAGGGATAGCAGTGTGCGTGTCAGGATGGCAGTGAAGGGGATGTGTGGGAGCCTGCGTGTTTGAAGGAACTTTGCAGAGAACCAGGCGGGAAAGAACATGCTTGAAGCTGATGAAGAGCAATGTAAGTGCCTAGGTGAGAAAGTTTTCTGTAATAAATTTTGTTAATGTAACACAGAAAAAAATAAAACCCAAAGTGCCTCTTTTACAATTCTAATCATCTTTAGTCCCGTTTTCAATGATCTCTTAAAGAAATTTTCTAAAAGACTATAATTTCTGCATTTCCTAGGAATTAATGGATTTTAACACATAGCAATGGATTTTTAACACATATGTATTTTTTTAAAGAATGCTTTAAATATGAGGTATGGGGCTCAATCCTGAAGGAAACTGTGTAATGGATATATCAGTGTTTAAATGTGTTGGGATATTTTTTGTTTCACTTATAAAATGGTTCTTAAATTTAACCACAATGTTTTAAACAATATCACCATTATATAAGCAAGTTTTATAAGTTGTTCATTTAGAGCTAGTCCTCTCCTCGCCTCTTCCCTCCCTTCTTTTCCCTCCTCTCCCTTCCTTCCCCTCCCCTTCTCTTCTCCTCCTCCTCTTCCTCGTAGAGCTTATTTTAAAAATGCATTCATCTCTATCAACATTCCTTCCTTCATCCACTGAAGAGCATTCCTGACTTTAGTATGAACTGTCACCTCTTCAAGTATGTGACCTACGTTTCTAAATTGTGTCCAGTTTACAAAGTTGAAAATGGACCTATCCAATGTCCATTTACATTTTTCTCCATTTGGTCACTTTTATGCTTTTATTGAAAACCTGCTGGCCCAAGGACAGAATTATGGGCTGACATAAAATATTAAATTGACTTTCTGCTTTCTGATTCATTGTTTTCTAAATCTTGTGGTGCAGTAATCAGCTAAATCAAGAGTGTCTTTCTCCCTTAGATTAAAAAAATACACTATCCTGCAATTTTGTGTGTGTGGTGAAGTTATAACGATGAAAATAAGAACCTGTTATGTTAAAGTCTGTTTTGTGAGTTTTTTGAAGTTTGGGGCTATAAACTTGTTATTGTTTCTTACCAAAAAAAATGAAAATAAGTCTGAACATCCTTTTCTAGCTAAATGAACATTACATTTATTTACGTTCTAGAATAACATTAGTGCTAGGAAGGAAATGCGAGGAGAAAATTTCACTGCTTGGAGCCTTTTTTTCCTGGAGGGATTTTCCCGGTACCCAAGGTTAGAGATCGTTCTGTTTGTCTTCAGCCTTCTAATGTATTTGGTTACCATCCTGGGTAACAGTACTCTGATTTTAATCACAGTCCTGGATTCACACCTTCAAACCCCCATGTACCTGTTTCTTGGGAACCTCTCCTTCATGGATATCTGTTACACATCGGCTTCCATTCCTACTTTGCTTGTGAACTTGCTGTCATCCAAGAAAACCATTATCTTTTCTGGGTGTGTGGTCCAGATGTACCTCTCCCTTTCCATGGGATCCACAGAGTGTATACTTCTGGCTGTGATGGCCTATGACCGTTACGTGGCCATCTGCAACCCACTGAGGTACCCCATCATCATGAACAGGCAAGTGTGTGTGCAGATGGCCACCATCTCCTGGGTGACAGGCTGTCTGACTGCCCTGCTGGAAACTAGCTTTGCCCTGCAGATTCCCCTCTGCGGGAACGTCATCGATCACTTCACATGTGAAATTCTTGCGGTGCTAAAATTAGCTTGCATGAGTTCGCTGCTCATGGACATGGTGATGCTGGTGGTCAGTATTCTCCTCCTGCCCATTCCAATGCTCTTGATTTGCATTTCCTACGGCTTCATCCTTTCAACAATTCTGAGAATCAGTTCGACAGAGGGAAGAAACAAAGCTTTCTCGACTTGTGGTGCGCACTTGACTGTTGTGATCTTATACTATGGGGCCGCTCTCTCCATGTACCTGAAGCCTTCTTCATCAAACTCACAAGAAATAGACAAAATCATCTCGTTGCTTTATGGAGTGCTTACCCCTATGTTGAACCCAATAATTTACAGCTTAAGGAACAAAGAAGTAAAAGAGGCTGTGAAAAAACTGCTGGGCAAAGTACCACTGGCACCAAGCGTGTGACTGTCTTTGATTTGGTACCTGTGACTTTGCCAAGGATGTGCCATGGCACCAAGCGTGTGACTGTCTTTGATTGGGTACCTGTGATTTTGCCAAGGAAGTACCATCGGCAGAACTCAGCAGAGAAATTCTGAACACCAATTTTACAGTCGTGAGGTCCTTGTACACCAAGTCATTTGTTATGGATGCAGTAGGTTTCAGTGTTCACTGATTAATATTTCTTGGCGTTGGTGTGTCATAGCAGGGAGGACATCAATTCAGCCACTGAGTGTTTGCTCCAAAAATGTGGTCAGTGAATCTTAGTACCAGAAGAAGTATCTTCTTTGCTTCAATCCCTTGTAGGATGGGGTAGGAGCCTGAAGATACAAACCAAACAACTAAAGGAATGAAAAAGATATTGGCATTGATTATAGAAGCAAGTAAATAAAATCAAAGAAAATTGAAAGGACTTGGTCAACACTGTATGGTGCAGACTTTGATGACAGCATCTTTTGACTTTTTTGTCAGAGCTTATTCTATTCCATGGTGGTAGCTTCTTAAATGCTTATTAAAATTTCCTGTCTTCCCGAGTAAGGATCTTATAAGGCTGTTTTATACCTGCCCGCCAACTTTGTCTTTTGTAAACAAATCTGTTCCTGTGAAACTATACTTTATATATGTTAAGTCATTTTTACTTGTTCATTTTTTTCTTCACTGGAAGACTGACTTCATAATAGCTGACGAGGAAGCATTTGTTCTAGACATAATATTTTTTCCTTAGACACCTCAGCCATCCAAATCTAATTGTACAAACACTCATATGAAACACAAAAAGGCTTGAGCAGGGCTGTGACACCCTTGTGCCCTCAGAACTGGGAAAACAGAGGCAGATGGAGCTCGTGGCTTGCTGGCTATCCAGCTTAATCTACTTGATGTGTTCCAAGTCAAGAAGAGATGCTGTCTCAAAAATGAGGATGTATTTAGGAACAATCTGAGGTTATCTTCTGACTTCAACATTTATGCATATGTACCCATATATTCTTGTACATACAAAAACATATCACAACTTATAATGGAATAATAGTTTTTGGGTTTTTTGTTTGTTTGTTTGTTTTTGTGAGACAGGGTTTCTCTGTGTAGCCCTGGCTATCCTGGAACTCTTTCTGTTGACCAGGCTGGGCTGGAACTCAGAGCTCCACCTGCCTTTGCCTTCTGAGTGCTGCAAATAAAGGCATTCAGCACCACCACTTAGCTGGAATAGTAGTTTTTAATTTCACCTCCTTGGTGATGCCTTCTTCACTGTCCTGCAGGTTCACCACCACAAGAACTCTATCACGTTGTTTATCACTGCACGCCCAAGACTAAGCACAATGTTGCCACAGAGGAGATGTTCAATGTACCTTTTGAGAAGGACTAAGTGGTCCATGAACATCTTCCAAATAGCAGTACACATTGACCAAACTTTTGATAGCTATTTAGTAGGTACCTGGCCATCCCTCTTTGATGGTTGGGTAGTGATGAGAAGGATGTCCATCTGGACCTTTCGAAATAAAGTTGCTATCAGTTTTTAGCCTGGATTTTTTTTTAAAAAAGATTTAATTGTGTGTGTGTGTGTGTGTGTGCTCATGTGTTTGTCTGCATACACGTGTGTAAGTGCCTCCAGAGGTCACAAACTCTAGCATCAGATCCTCTGGAGCTAGAGTTGCAGGTGGTTATAAGTCACCAATGTGGGTGCTGGAACCAAACTCTGGTACACTGTAAGAGTAGCAAATACCATTAACCACTAAACAATCTCTCCAGTCCTGCTATCTTGGAATTAGCAGTTTTCTTTATATTTGAGATTTCATATGTGGGTACAATGAAATATGATCATACATACTCCCATTTCTCCTTTCAACTCCTCTCTTGCTTCTTCCAATATTTCCTCCAAATTTCAAGCTTTTTTTTTTTTGATTACCTACTGTAAGTCTAGTTAGTACTGCCTATATGTGGGCCATCTACTGTAGCATGGGAAACTGACCCATGGCCACAACCTCAATAAAAGAATGATTTTCCCTCCTCCCCAGCTATCTGCTGTTAGTAGCTCCTTAGTAAGTAACGAGGTCTGGGGATCATCTACTCCTACACACCAGTAGTTAGGCTGGCTTGATTATATGGGCACACAATTGCTGTGAGATCTGTGGTACCCGCAATATCCGGAAGACAGCATCTCACAGCATTTCTCCCCCTCCTTTGCCTCTTACATTCTTTCTCCCTTCTCCTCCACAATGTTCTCTGAGACTTGGTGGTGGTGCTGGGAATTAATATAATTGCCTCATTTCGATAGCACAGAACTTTGGAAACCAAACTACCTTACTTTCCCCATAGAAGGACATGCTGTTAGATAATACTTATCTATTTCAATATTAGAAATGATTGAAGCAGGCCTTTGATAATCGTCGATATAGTTAGTGACTGAGATGGAGAAATGTCATCTGAATGAAAGAATACTCCAAGGCATTCATAATTGGCTGTATCTGATGGTATGGGAGAGCATTTTAAATAAAGGAAGTACTTTGTCTACGCACAGAGGAAAGTCAAGTGTCATAACACACACTATATATATGTATATATATATGAGACTGTATATATATATATATAGTCTCTTACAGCTCTTATTCTTCCCTAAAAATAATTACAACTTGAAAGTTTTTTAGTATTGCTTTATTCTCAGCAATATAAACAACTGTAACTTTTAGACTCATTTAAATAATCTAACTTTGGAATTTATTTCAGTAGATAGATGGGAACGAAGGTGTCTCATTTATGGATAGATATTGGGAGTATTACTTTTGTTTATGTTGCTTTTGTTTAACTCTGTGAAGCTGTGTTACTGTGCCTGCCCAGAACACCTGATGGTCTAATAAAAACCTGAATGGCCAATAGCGAGGCAGGAGAAAGGATGGGTGGGGCTGGCAGGCAGAGAGAATGTATAGTAGGAGAAAACTGGGAGATGGGGAGGAGAAGTAGCCTGAGAAAGAGGAGGACATTAGGGGCCAGCTGTCCAGCTGTACAGCGATTGGCAGAGTAAGAGTAAGATTCACAGAAGTAAGAGAATAGGAAATGCCCAGAGACAAAAGGTAGGTGGGATAATGTAAGTTAAGGTAAGCTGGCAAGAAACAATTGGGAGCTGGGTGGTGGGCAGGTCCCCCCCCCCAAAGAATCCAAAGACCTGAACATTCATACTACTACTATAGATAAGTGACCTCAGCATAAACAGAAATCAGTGGACTGGCTGTAGCCTCTTTCTCTCTTTCTCTGGAAGGTACCACTGAAATAGGGATTAAGTTATGGGGCCATATGTGAAGGACAAGTAGATGATGTGAAAGGAACAGAAGTGTCCTGTTGACTGAGTTTCTGACCTGCCCAGTTCCTGCAGTTGTTAAGTCCCAAAGAAATCACACAGAGGTCTACATTAACTATAAACTGATTGGCCCATTAGCTCAGGCTTCTTATTAACTCTTAGAACTTATATAGCTCATTACTAGCCCATTATTCTTATCTGTTAACCATATGGCTCAGTACCTTATTCAGCAGGGCAATCACATCCTGCTTCTTCTCTGGTTGGGTCAGGACTGCAGAGGAATGGGCTTCCTCCTTCCCAGAATTCTCCTGTTCTCATTGACCTGCCTCTACTTCCTGTTTGGTTGTCCCACCTATACTTCCTGTCTGGCTACTGGCCAATCAGCATTTATTTATAATATAATTGACAGAATACAGACCATTCTCCCATACCAGTGTCCCCCTATCTGTCAGAGGGACAAGGAAATCTTTTTGTATGTGGAACCAAAAGAAGGGTAAGGTAACAGAGGTATGGGAGAAAGGGAAGAATGGCAGGTGCTGAGCCTGTTGAGGTAAGTCAAGGCCATACCACAGATCTAAGACAACACTGACATTCAACAACCATTGCTATTTTTGAACAGGTATTTAACATCTTTTTCGAGACAGGTTTTGTGTGTGTGTGTGTGTGTGTGTGTGTGTGTGTGTGTAGCCTTGACTGTCCTGGAACTAGCTCTGTTGATCAGGCTAGCCTTGAACTCACAGAGATCCAGCTCATACTGCCTTGCAAGTGCCGGGCTTAAAGGCATCCGTCACCACCACCAGGCCTATATAGCATTTTTAATAGCAGTTCTTCTGGTTACATTATGGAGAATGAGTTTCAGGAAACTTAGACAACACAAGGGAAACATGTAGGACAAATTTATAGTGAGCTATTTAGTGTTGCTGGAATTTTGAAACATCATGGTAGCTGTGGTTAAGAAAATATAGTAGATATAAACTTTGAAAATTATTTGTGAAAATAGCACCGATATTGTAAGAGCTAATGTCTAAAAGACATAGGTAGTAAGTGAAGGTATCAAAGAGGACTTCTAGTTTTTTGGTTTGTATAACAGAAAGCTACTGATACAGTAGCTACAATTACTGGTACAGGGAATTCTCAGAGAACCAACTGGGATGAAGAAGACTCTTGATTTATTTGTATTTTAGGCATGCTGATTTTTTCAGGCGTTTAAGTAGTGGCATCTCGTGGAGTTAGTTGGATAGTCTGGAATTATTGAGAAAGGTCAAAGTATAGGTATAAACTTTGCATGTGCACAATAATTTAAGTAATGAACTGGTGTGGAGTGCTCCTTTATATTGTGTAAAGATATGTCAGTGTAATTGGTTTAGTAAAAACCTAAATGGCCAATAGCTAGGTAGGATTTTGGGGGCAGAGAGGATGCTAGGAAGAAGGTGGGGTTGCTAGGCAGTTAGAAGAAGCATGATATTTAGGATATGAGGTAATAAGTCATGAGCCATGTGGCAGCACATAAATTAATAGAAATGCGTTAATTTAAGTTACAAGAGCTTAAAACAAAAAAATACAAAAGTTACAGGGGTTAGCTAGAAACAAACCTAAGCTATTTCCTAAGCTTTCATAATTAATAATAAGTCTCTGTGTCATGACATGTTGGTAGGTGGGACAGAGAAAGACTAGCTACATATGGTGCCCAACATCCAGTCATTATTTCCCTATAAGAGCTGAGAAAGTTTAAAAAAGGTTCCAAACACAAAAATGGAGCCAAACGCAGCTTCCTAATCCCGCAATCTCTCACCTGTGCCTCACATCTCCCAGAAGCTGCCTGCAAGCTTGAACCGCCAGTATGCCATGAATTGAACTTCAGAGAAGTTTAAGTTTTGCTCATGTAGACAGAAAAGGTTACAGATATGCAGTAAAGCAGATTCAGATAGAAGAAACAGGTTACAGCATGTTTAAAAATATGCATAGGCTTAAGAAAGAGAAGAAAATAGGTATAGGCCGTTATAGAAAAAGAGTAAAACATTTATAAACAATAAAAAGAAAGACTAATGGGGAATACATAGAGTCTGGATTCTGTATGGTATTGTATTGACTTTAAATTTTTTGATTGCTGATAAGTAAGCAATAGTTGCTGAGAGATATTGGATTATAAAAAACTATTACATTACACCAACTTATATATTATTTAAAATGTTTTAACTTCAAAATGTAAGTCAAAAAATACTTTATGTTG